CTTTTTCCGGAGGATCGGGGCCAGTCTAGACGCTCTTTTCCGGCTTTTTTAAAAGCCGGAAAAAAGCGGCGGACATTTTTATTTAAATGCCGCGGGGGATATTTAAATCCCCCGCGGATTTCCCTACGACGACTCGTGCAATTTACATGCCCCTTCCGGAAAAGGGGCCAGTGTAGACGTAGCCCCGCAGTTTTACTGTACTAAGTATCTCTCAGTGTGTGTGTGTAAGCAGCTATAAACCAGGGAGCAATACAAACACAGCTAGAGCCAGAATGGATCCAGATCCTGCATTCACTGAAAGTGCTACTTAAAATTGGGAATTACTAATAATTGAAAGTATTGTGAATGTATGCAGTAGGGATATTAAAAGTTGCGTAGTACGGTGGCCCATACCATTAACTCATAAGCAGCAGCATGCAGTGGGGTGGGAGAAGGAGGTGCATGCAGCTCTCTGACACCCTTCAGCAGCATATATGGTGTATGTCTTTGGTGGGGGAAAAATGCCTGGACCTCTGGTATACTCCAATGTGCATGCAGTTCTGTGTCACCCTTCAGCAGTGCATGGGGTGTGTAGAGGGTGTGCAATGCATGGACCTCTGTTGTGTCATATTTCAGCAATATATGTAGTGTGTATGTGTAGTGTGTATGGGGGGGATGTGGCTCCTTTGTGCCATATTCCAGCAGTATATGCAGTGGAGTAGGGGGAGAAGGATGTATGCAGCTCTGTGTCACCCTCCAGCAGGACTTGTGGTGTGTGTGCAGGGGTGCATGTAACTCTATGTCACCTTGCAGAAGTGCATATTGCCTTGTGTCCTACTCCAGCAGAGAATGCAATACCTTGTCATAAAGCAGCAGTGCATGCAGCTGGGCATTGCCAGAGGCTGACATCTGTCACAGTTCAGTATTGCATGTATTTGTGTGTCCAAGTGAAAGCTGTTCAAACAGCAATGGATTCATCCTCACAAAACTCTGGTGAGACAGAACAATGTCACTAATATCATTGTAATGGGGGTGCAGAGAGATCAAGTGACTTGTGACTTGCCCAAATACATGCAGCAAGGCTGTAGGCAGCACAACTATAAACTGTATCTGGATCTCCTAAACCACTGGACACTGCCCTTATCATAAGACCATCCCCATTACACCTTGGAATCATCTCTTGCATTGACACTCTCCGCTGTACAAACTAATCTTGCAAGTATAAAGCTCCGGAACTGCATTGCATAGGATTCTGCTGTGTTACCTAGCAACAGTGTATGCACTGTGGCTTTGCATGCAGTTCAGATATAATCTACCAGTAAGACATGCAGTTTGGCATGGCTCTCCTTTCACATTCCTACCATGCAGGCAGCTAGGCATTTGAAGTGATGGTAATATCTATGGCCATGCATTAAATTAGGTTTTACAGTATTTGTTCCTCATATCACTGTGGCATTCCATGCAGTATGATACAGGGTTTACAATTTGTTTCACTGACTCTCAGCACTCCTGCTTTAAAAATTGCTCCAGCACCCCTGCCCTCACAATGAATGTGCAGGTGTAAGATTAAACACTTCGGGTTCATCTACACAGCAGGCCTTAACTTGAAATAAGCTACACAAATTGAGCTAGGTCAATTGCATAG